AGAGGTGGTGGATTCACCATCCCTGGAGGTTTTTAAGCAGAGATTGGATGTGGCCCTTAGTGCCATGATATAGTAATTGGAGTTGGATCAGGGGTTGGACTTGATGATCTTGGAGGTCTTTTCCAACCCAATCTATTCTATGATTCTATTCTATGATTCTAAGATAAATTATATGTACCATATTTTTAAACTCTGCTCTCTGCAGGGCATCTTACCTAGATACAGCTACTTCTTTCTCCTTATTTCTTCTTTGGAGATATTCACAGAATTTTGGTCATTCAAGCTATCAATAGTTTAGTAATGAAAATGAAATAAAGCCATAGCAAACAAAATGCTGTTTGCACTGAAGTGCAGCAAAATTCAGTACATGTACTGCATACATAAGGTTTGCTGTATTCTCACAAATCTAAATATTTTCCCAAATAATCTAGTCTCTATTCTGTAGATTGTATGTATATGAAGATCACATGGACTTGTATGGAGATTGTGGTGATTTTTTAATGCTCATGTCAGTGATACAGACTACAGAGACAGAAGAATTTGTTATCCTTCCATCTGGAGTGTGTCAGAGACCTCCCTGTGCTCTGAGCACTGAAAGCAGAAGCATCTGCCTAAAGCTCAGAAGTGATCAGGACGTCCACATTCCCCTCCACCTCTGCAGGTGCCTGATGATCGCTCCTTTTCAGAATTCATGGGTTAAGGCTCTGATATTGTTTTTCCTCTAAACCCTTTCACAAAGCCTTCAGTGACTAAAGAAGTTGGGAGTTGCTGTGATTATGCTGACATCATCACACAGTATATTTCCATTTTCAAACTACATGGTCTTAATTTTTAGAATCAACTTTTAGAACCAAGTGTTTAGAACCAAGTGTTTTCCTATTAATGCAGAAACACTGCTTTCCATAATCAAATTCGATTGTGTATTTTAAAATTCTTATTTCTCAAATTCCCCTTAGTAAACTCACTTACAAAGAGCAAAAATAGATGAGCCTTGAACACACTAAATTCAGCTTTTAATGTCTGAAAGGACTTTGTTGTTCCATGACAACATCCAGGTAATAGCATTCGGAAAGAACCTCATCAAAAGAGTTCTATGGAAATAAATATAGTATATCAAGCATACTTACTTGCTTTCTGAATTTCAAAAAAACTCCACTAGACTAAGAAAGCATGATTTTTTTGTAAAAGAAAAAGCAAAAAGCAACTTACATACTCACATTCACTCTTCACCATTATATCATAAGCTTATTCATTCTGTCTATTCAATCATGTTATAGTCACGACCAGATTCCTTCATATAGGGCTACAAAATTACTTTTTATGCAGATCCTCATGAATTCTCTTTTGAAAAAAAAAAAAAAAAAAAAAGAATTTGACACTTGGCACACCTATTCTTTCTGTGCTGAGGCCACTATAAGTGATAAGCTATACATCAAAGCTGGTTGTTCACTGATTTCTTGTCTAAGTTCCTTTGAAATACCTGGGAATATATTATCTGGTCCTTATGTTTGTCACAGTTCATTGTATGAATTTCTATTGGCACTATGCCTTTTACTGACACTAGATTTTAAACACTTTCTGGGACTTACCTCTCCTAAAAAAAAGCTCCAGGATTAGAAGTTCCTAAACTCTTCCAGTGCACTGAATTATCTTACTTTTATGCTTTAGATACTTTCCTCTTTCAGTGTATTTGAAAGAAGGTTTTATTATTGGTTCTTATGCTCATAGAAAGTCCTCAAAATCTTTGTGGGTTTGCTACATCACAACTTTAAATTTCACTTGTTAGAGCTTGTGCTTAATTCTTATTCTCAAATTATTCTGGTTAATAGAACTTTTTTTTTTCCTGTTGTTTAACTAGGCCTTTAAAAATGCTACAGCTTTTGTAGCATGTGACTAGTCCCTCTGAACTTTGTATGGATTAGTACTGAAAACACAGCTGCAAAGCAGTAAGGGAGGAACTGCTGGATGTGAGATTTGCCCAGTGAGATTTACCCAGCAAATACATCACGCAATACGACTATGCATAGGCTTGCAAGCTTCGTTCTCCAGCAGAGCAGTTCTTTCCCAGCAGCATTAATGGGAACTCAGTAGTGATGTGTCAAATATTAATCAGCAACTTCAGACCTGAGAATGTTCCTCCCACATCTCACAGGGCCTCTACCCCAACAAAGACACACCAGCCAGCAGTGAAAGACTGTGCTGCGCCTTTTTTTGACTCTTCCCTTCTGTTGCACATCCTTTTTAGGGCATGATTACATTTGTACCTCTCTCTGGTAAGAGAGGGTTTTGTTCAGAAATTAAATTAATCCTTTTCCTCTTCAAAACAGTTCTAAAAGGACTGTGAGTAGCACTGTCTTAGCTTTCAGGTCATGTGCCAGCAGAACAAGAAGGCCAGCAGTTACAGCAGAAAACACAATTGCCTCTACACTCATGAGTGAGGGGTTACATTTGAAAGCTCTCTGCCTCGTGACACTGTTAGACACAGTGAGTGTGAAATTTTCAGTGACCCCAGCCTCTCATTACAGTTTTCTCTAATGTGCCATGGCAGGAAGGCCAAGGGAGCTGAGCACTGCTGCAACTTGAAAGAATGCAATATTACAGAAGATATAACAGCCATGGTTCTCGTTTCATGCTGACTGGGCTTTCTCTCCACTCACATGATGCATCTTCAGCATCAGTGGTGTCTGGTGCAGAGTTCTTCAGGAAGAGCTGCTGTCATGCTTCATGGGTACCTCAGAGTTGTGGCCAGCTCAGGGGAGCCTCAAGTGCTTCCTCAGATGATCAGCAAAAATGTGACTGCTTAATGATGGCAGCCCTCTAATTAAGGCACAACTGTCTAAACCTAGAACTAATTTTAATCAAAAGAGCTGCGTAGTTATTATACACGCTTTGCAAATGACGTCACTTAGATATTAAAGAATTTAAGTGAGTGGTTTGAAGGCAAAACTGTTTACAGAAATTGGTAGAAGCAGATATCAGCAGACTCAGATTGCCGTTCCTCTGCTGTAACTTCTTCAGACCAAAACATTGATTTTGTGCCTTTCAAAAACTACTTCTCTCTGCTACTAAAAGAGATCCAGGAGAAAAAGGGGGAGTCACACAGCAATTTTTGATACTCCTGTCTCTGGAGACCAAGATCACAGAGATGGTGGCAGTCACCTTCCAGACTGTGGTGGCAAAGAACAAGAAAGCTGATTCAACATTTAACGCTAATAACAGCAAAGGCAAGTGCCAGGGTAAAGGTGACTCTGTAGTACACTGAAATACTAGTAGAGAATTTTAAAGCCCATTAGAAATTTGCAATGCAGTCCCATTAAAGCAAACAGAAATGAACATCAAAATCCATATACAACTTTTAAGAACTCAACTCTTTTACCTTATACGTTTCCACATCAGAATTTATGCTATCTAAAAACAACCAGTAACTAAAAATTAGAATAAGATAGTAATGTACATACAAAATAATTTCATCAAACTATAAAGGTAAGAATTTTAAGTTAGCTACAGATACCGCTCTTTGTCCTTGAAAGTATTGAACAAATTCACTGGACACCCCTTCTTAGGTTTTCTGGTCTATATCACAGTCTCCTTTAGTCATTTATTGCTACATATCTATCAATACTAGAGAACAGAATTGCTATCACTGTATATTTATGGATGTATGTGTGCACATGCTTTTGTTACAGAAAATGGAAGACAGAAAAACTAAGTCTTAATAAAAGTGATTTAAGCTATCATTTGCAATGACAGGGCACACACAAATAGTCACTGCAACTCAGCTGACATGGGGTAACTCATCGAGCAACAGGAGTTCAAATTTGTGGGAGACCTAAGTTTTACAGAGCTATCCTCTCACTTAAGTCTCACAGCTGAATTACCACGTTTGAACTCACAATTTTCAGTCACAAACAACACAAATGGTACATCTGTTATCTGAAGCTTGATACATACATTCCCAAACAGGCACTATATAATTAGGCTAAGTCAGATACTCACTGATCTGGTTGGTAGATGCACTATAAAAAGCATTTACAGTAGTTGGGCTTGTAAACCACCTGTAGTAAGAGCAAAAGAATATATCTGTCAGTACAGTTACTCATCTCTATAAATAAAAGGAGTAAAGATAAAAATTGAACTCAGGAGAAGGAAGTAAAAATATTAAGGATCTAGAATACATTAAAGCATTTCTCCATTTCAACACGTGCTACCTACACATTGAAATCTATTGTTCACTGAGTTTAAGTGTGTACAGTCAATGAATGCTCAACTGGAGTGATTCTTAAGCTTTCTATTACCTAATCTGTTTAATTTTTAGGTGACCATTATGCTTGAGAGCTCTGCCATGCTGATGAAAGGAAGTTCACGCAGCAGAGGCTGCCACACTGACAACAGCTGTGAAATCTCTCTTGGGTGGCTTTCAATTGTGTGTGGAGAAACTCCCTGTTGAAATTAGAGAGCATTTTGAAACAAGTGTAGTGGCTTCAGAGGCTTTGCTGAACAACGACTTGAACAATTAGGTTTATGCCAGCAACACGAGCTGGTACTTTCTGGGAATGTAAATTCAAAACGAACAGTTTTGTTTTCTGTACCTTACACAACACGGCCATCAGCGTGCTCCTAAACAAACCAAAGCATTTCTTCTCATGGTTTGATTTCTCATACATACCGGAGGAAAACCTAGATTTGAATAGGATTGGACTTCAATGATCCTTGTGGGCCCCTTCCAACTCAGAATATTCTGTGATTCTATGAATGGCAAATAGGATTTAAGAATCTCCTTAGCTTAAGCTCATATATATTGACAGTGCCTTCACCCACAGACTAGAAAATCTCAACTCACTTCAGCAAGATCCAAATTGCCCCAGGTGAAACCCTGAGTTCAGTAAGCCCAAGATTTCACCTTATGATTTTGTAAGGAAGAACTGAGATAAAAGTAATGAAGATGATGAGAATTAGTGGTTAATCCATAATAAATTAGAAGTGAGTCCAATAATCTCCAAACAGGAACATCCTGATGTCTTAAGCAATGCATTACTCAAAAGTTTTGTAAAATTACATGAATGCAATACACTTGCTTTGGAAAATGTCTTTCAAAGAGCAGAGATAGGAGCTGCAAAACAAAAAGTAAGACAAAGGAAGATCCTTAAGAACATGGAAAATGCGTGATATCAGTGACCATCATGCACACAATCTGTGTTTTAAAATAGCACCATCAAATGAATTAGTCATCTGTAGATCCTTACTGTTTTTCTGACAACTAATGTCCTCACATAAACCATGTAACAGGGAAGAGTTTTAAAATAGCAGCATTTTGTGTTTTATCAATAAATTTAACTGCTTCTCTTATTCTTCAAACTGAGCAGCTTATTTTACAATGCACCAAATAGAAAAACTAATCAATGGAGGCAACAACAAGGCTGTCACGTACATATCTTAACCATCCATCACATTATAGACTCTAATTGCAACAGATAACTCTCCCTGGTTTGTGTATTAGGACATTGTGAATGGGAGGAGCAGGGGGAGGTTGTTTTCTGGTATGTTTTCTGTTTTCTTCATAATAAGGAGATTAAATGTTAGAGGTAATATACTAAGATAATGGAAAATTGAAGGAAGAATCAGTATGGTGAGGGGATAAAGAAAAAAATTAGGGGGCTTGATCAACTACATTTCAGTTTCATGTTTGCTCACAGCAGCAATTAGCTGAACTGTTTTGAAGGATGTAAGCCTGCCACATATGCTCTGGGACCTGTTCTCCAGGCTTAGCAGTAGGTCTGGTGGACTGCCCCTTTTCTGACAGGGAGAGAACCAATTTGAAAAGGATCCACCTGAAACACCACTCAACACTTTAATTTACATGTAAGTTTGATCAAAGACACACAGTGTTCTGACTTCCACCTCACCCTGTTGGCTTGTTCTACTTACAACAGCCTTTCTATTCTCACAAACAGCAACTTTTAAGCATGAAAAAAGGTTTCTGGGACAGCAAATCCTCCCTTTTTGCAAATTCTTCTTGCCCTCTCATTTCTAGTTTGAGAATCAAGGGCCTGAGACAGATAACAGATCTTCGAAACAGACTAATATGCTTTGCTCTTCTCACCATCCTCTTTGCTGCTGCAGCCCTGGGGGATTACCACAGCTACTTGAAGACAGGAATCACCACAAGCAGTGGTCAAAGAGCTCTTCATTGACAAGTGACACCTATCTAACAGGACAAGTTTGCACCCATTTTAATTTAGTGAGGAGCTAGTGACACATCACCACAGGAACACCTCAATTTGCCCAAGAGCAACAGTGAATGCTGTTGATATTTGGTCCACAGTTACTGAGGGAGAACATCACACTGTGAATTCACAGACTTGGAGCTTGTAGACTACTAAGACATATCACAGCATCCCCATCCTGAGATGGCTTCTTTCTTCATGATCTACCACCACAATAACAAAGCCCATCCGGTTTCCTGAGCTTAGTATGAGCCAAAGGCCAAGAGCAGCCTTGATTTTCTCACTGTAAAACTGAACTGAGTTCTTCCTAAATTGCTCTTTCATAACAAGGCTTTAAAAATGACCCAGTATGAAGTTCTTGTCTTTTTAAGCAGCTAGGAAAAGGAGACTTAGGAAACATACTGAGAAGTCAGAAAGAACAGGAGTTCTCTAGTTACAGAGTATTCAGCTGAATTTCATATTTTACACTTGGAAAGGAGCATATTTCCATTCCAGCATTTTGTTGTACCATTCTGAGCCACTCTCAAAAAGATTTAGGAAGTATTTTCCACAAAAGAGTAGAAATAACCAAGAATGCTTCCATTCAGACTAGCAGAACAACTTCTCATCAGTTATCCTCTTTCAGTGAGCTCCTTGAAAAGATTGAACCTTCAGTGACATACCTTAACTAATCACATAATTACCAGGGAGCCCCCGGTGGTCCAGGGGAAAATTCACTGCACTGTCACTGCAGAGACCCGGGTTCGATTCCCGGTCGGGGCCACTCCCCGGGCAGATGGAGCTCGTTA